GACTATTTTCTTCCCTTTCTCAAAAATTTCTCCTGCTGTATTGTCCCACATGATGGTGTCATCAATATACTGCAGATGTTCTGGACCTTCACCCTCTTCTAGTGCAGTCTGAATCAGTCCATGGCAAATGGTGGGGCTGTGCTTCCACCCCTGGGGCAGTCGATTCCAAGTGCACTGAATGCTCCTCCAAGTGAAAGCAAACTGTGGCCTGCACTCTGCTGCCAAAGGGATTGAGAAAAATACATCAGCGATATCAACTGTGGCATACCACTTGGCTGCCTTTGACTCCAGTTCATATTGAAGTTCTAGCATGTCTGGCATGGCAGCACTCAGTGGCGGCGTGACTTCATTCAGGCCACGGTAGTCTACTGTTAGCCTCCACTCCCCATTAGACTTTCGCACTGGCCATATGGGACTGTTAAAGGGTGGCGAGTCTTGCTGATCACTCCTTGGCTCTCCAGTCAGCAAATCAGGTTATGGATGGGAATCAGGGAGTCTTGGTTGGTGCAATATTGCCGCCAGTGCACTGTTGTGATAGCGATCGGCACCTGTTGTTCTTCGGCCCTCAGCAACCCCACAACAGAAGGGTCCTTCGAGAGACCAGGCAAGGTGGACAACTGTTTAAATTCCTCCATCTCCAAGCCAGCTATACCAAAAGCCCACCTGTACCGTTTCGGGTCCTTAAAATACTCTCTCCTGAGGCAATCTATGCCAAGAAAGCATGGAGCGTCTGGGCCAGTTGCAATGGGGTGCTTCTGCCACTCATTCCCAGTTAGGCTCACTTTTGTCTCAAACACAGTTAGCTGTTGGGATCCCCCTGTCACTCCAGAAATACAGATGGGTTCTACCCCTGTACATCTTGACAACATTTGGGTACACTGTGCACCAGTGTCTACAAGATCCTTATACTCCCGTGGGTCTGGTGTGCCAGGCCATCAAATCCACATAGTCCAGTAAACCCCGTTACCCCTTTTCCTCCACCTGGCTGGAAGCACGGCCCCTCTAATCCTGGTCTTAGTATTCATTACTCACTTCCTGTAAATACGAGTCAGGAATTCCTTCATTAAAACCAGGAGTAAGATCAGCCCTCTCAGAGGAACAAGTATAATTGCTACTTGTCTCCACGAGGTGGTACCCAAAGTACAGTAAAGGGCTTCAGTACAAAGCTCAAGTAATAGTTTAAGGTCAAGACCAGTGTTTTAATAACAAATCTTCCAGGCAAAACATCACTAATCACTGCAGAGCACAGCAAACTGCAAAAACCAACACCAATCTTTAATGTTGACAGCAAAAAAAAACCTGCATGGTGTAGATCCGATAAACTAATATCAAGAAGAGATGAATCAATATCCTGACCCACAACTCTTTAACATTTAAATTCCTTAAGCTCTAGTTAATCTGTTACTATCTCAAACCCTTCAAGCCCCATGCTGGGGGTATAATACTGCATCTCATCACTTTCATGGTTGCTACATGCTATATCAATGATATTACACTAAGAATCACCCAGGTTAATGAACTTTGATGAAACTGAGCAAGTGCAGTGGTGATGGTACCAGAACTGGCTTCAGCATGCAACAGTCCAACAGCACACACCATCTCTCCTGTCCTGAAAGACTGTTATGACAGGGAGCCCAAAGTCATGGACTAAATGAACTTGACGGACATTTTAGAGAGATGGCCCACAGACTAAGGGAATGATATCTGTGTGTATGCATCAAAAGACAGGAAAAGTGGTGTTGATTATTTGGAATGTATTGGAAAAAGTAGGACCTGTGCATGACATAGATGGTATAGCATCAGGGGATGTCGTCTTCTAACCCCAGTTAGCAACCAAGCACCACGTAGCCACTCGCTCACCCTCCCCCCCCCCCCCGGGGTGGGGGCACTCGCTCACCCCCCCCCCCCCCAGTGGGATGGGGAAGAGAATCTGAAGAGCAAAAGTAAGAAAACTTGTGGGTTAAGAACAGTTTAATAATGGACATATAATAATAATAATAATAGATAATAAAATTGTAATGAAAAGGAAAATAACAAAAGGCGGGGGTAGGAAAAACCGAGGAAAAACAAGTGATGCAACTGCTCACCACCCGCCAAACGATGCCCAGCCAGTCCCTGAGCAGCAATCGCTGCCCCCCCGGCCAACTCCCTCTAGTTATTATACTGAACATGATGTCATATGGTATGGAATATCTGTTTGGTCACTTCGGATCAACTCTCTTGGCTGTGCCCCCTTCCAGCTTCTTGTGTACCTGGCAGAGCATGGGAAGCTGAAAAGTCCTTGACTTAGTGTAAGCACTACCTAGCAACAACTAAAATATCAGTGTGTTATTAGCATTATTCTCATACTAAATCCAAAACACAGAATTATACCAGCCACTACAAAGAGAATTAACTCTAAGTTAGAAGACTCTAAACCAAAAACAGGACAAGAGGTAATACATTCTGAGCTTTGGGATCTGTCAAGGTTTTGAGCCATGAAAAATTTTCCAGGTAAGAAGTGTTTTCATGTGGTAAAACATCAAAATACAGTACATGCACAACACAGATATCATTGGAAGTCAATGAAATCACTGCATTATTTCTGTCTCTGCAGAAAGTGCATGGAGATTTACCTGTATAGTTAAAAATGCCCTCTGGGGAGAAATACATCATCACCTTCCTCAGGACAAATCTGTAATCTGTAGCAGTCATTTCCTGATAAGTGAGATGTAGCCAACCAAATCAACAGAGAGCCAGCTCTCAAGCTCTAAGCATAATACTCATTATTTTGGTTTTTCTACTTCAGTAAGTAGTTTGGTACAATATGAACACATTTTTAGATTAAAACATTTGGTGCTGAGCGCTGAATACCCACAGTGTGTATATTTTGGGGTTTTTACTTCAGATTGGTTGTAGTCTCATCCTTTGGGTGAATTACTACCACCAGTTGGAGGACATTTGAGTTTCATCCAAAAGGAAGTCTCTTTGGTTCTGAACAGCTTTGCAGTATGAACAGAGCAGTAAGTGGGGATCACTGGGAGTTTCCCTATAAAAGGACTCCCAACCCAAATGCAAATCACAGAATTGCAGAATGGTTGAGGTTGTTGGGAAGGACCTTTGGAGGTCATCTGGTCCAACCCCCCTGCTCAAGCGGGGCCACCTAAAGCCAGTTGCCGAGGACTGTGTCCAGACAGCTTGATGGAGATGGAGATTCTACCACCTTGCTGGGCACCCTCACAATGAAAAGCTGTTTCCTGATGTTCAGAGGAAGCCTCCTGTGTTTCGGTTTGTGCCCATTGCCTCTGGTCATCTCACTGGGCACCACTGAGAAGAGCGTGACTCCATCCTCTTTGCACGTTTCCCTTCAGATATTTATACACATTGGTGAGATCCCTGCTGAGGCTTCCTTTCTGCAGGCTGAACGGTCCCAGCTCTCTCAGCCTTTCCTCATAGGAGGGATGTTCCTTCTTTGCCAAATGTAGATTAAACCACTGACTTCCCATTCACTTACTTTTGCCCTTCCTGCTTACATTCTCTGTTATGGTACCTGCATCTCATATATTTTCAGCATGGCATTGCTGCCTCCCTTCTGCTTGACATCACCAAGCACAGGACAGGGCTGACTGACAGAACTGCTCCAAGGGTTCTCCAGCAGCTGCAGTCAGGTGCCCAGTCCATTCAGTCTACACCAATCTTACAACCCACATGCAAATGGATGCTTGTCACAGGACCTTGTGTTGCCATGTGTCAGTCACTTGAGCAGATGCGCTTTCCCATCGTTTGGCTGTAAGCAAGAGAGTTTTGTCAGGGTTCCCAGCAGCCTTGAGAGCTCTGCAAAGGTGGATGTGTTTTATGAGTTTACGTGATTGGTAGGAACCTGTAATTAGTTTGGAAAGAGCTGCTGATAGCCTGTAAGTTGCCTGTTTTAATTCCTTTAATCCTTTTAACCTGAATAACCAAAACCCTAGTGATAGTACTTTCAGTAGTTTCATAATATACATTTTCTTACTGTGTGGGGGGAGGGTGGAAAGATTTGGTGGGACCAAAGGGATAAAGAGAATTGTGATGGCTACATGCAGTGGAAACAAGCAAAATGATTCATAATTAACCTCAGCAATAAATTAATTTAAACTGAGTAAAGATTTTAGAAATATAACATATTATGCATATATTGCATTAATTAAATGGTGGTCATTTCTAACAAATTTGCTTTACTTGCATCAGTACAGCACTGTGTGTAACTACTAGTTGTCTTTTTCCTGCTGTCAAATGATTGTTACATACAAAAGCAGTTATGTGCCAAGTAAATCTGGCAATGCTTTGCAGAAAGGCAGAAGTGTATCTTCTTGTGCTTGACTGATTTGTCAGTGTTGCCAGAAAACCTGGTTTTAGATCAGATATGAATCACAGTATGTTTAAGAATAATAGAAATTTTCAGTCTTTCTTTGTAAAAGCTTTGACTTTGAGAATCATTAATTTGAAATATGATGTTTATAATTTTATTTGCATTTTTTTTTAGTGTAAGTAGCTTGTTTATATATACTCCTGACTATTAATGAAGCATGGATTTTAGTGCTATTTAAAAATAACTATTCCTTTAATCAAAATGGTATAGGATTTGGTATTCTAATTTGAGTGAGTTTATTTAAACTAAAATACAAAGCATTTAACTTGTTCTTTATTTTTTATGCGTTGTATGCTCAATTTTTTAACATATTTATAGCTGTTTAATGTGACACATTTCTTCCAGAGAGTTACTTCTGAAACTTGTTAACACTGATGCTGAAAGGAGAAAGAAGTAATGCTACATAAAATACCAAATATTGTATTGACATTTATGTGGAGTAGACTAAAAAAATAATCTCATTGTTCAGTAGCATTAAACTACTGGAAAATTAAAACAAAGTTTAGCAGTTTCTGTATTCCCTCACAAGTCCAGTGTATTTTCTGCACATTTTGTGGCAAGGATTTTGTCTAAAATACTTACTTTGTAAAACTTGTGTTTTCTTTTTTTTCAGAGCACATTCAAATTTAAATCTGAGAGTGACATTCATCTGGCTGAGCACCATAAACAAGTTCTATACGATGGGAAACTTGCAAGTAGCATTGCTTTTACTTATAATGCGAAGGCTACTGATGCTCAGCTATGCCTAGAATCCTCACCAAAGGAAAATCCTTCAATTTTTGTACACTCCCCCCATGCTCTTATGCTCCAGGTTTGTGCTACTAAATTGTTGTTCTGTGATTACTGTTAGGTCAACATAATTTGGATAATAAGAGGATTTGTGTGCTAGTGTACAAAGAGATTGGTATTTTGTATTATTTCAGCTCTTAATATACCTATCACTTGAACTGTTCTTTCTTTGCGCACTTTCTGGAGAAAAAGCCTATTATTTCTTCATTAAGAAATATATACTTCATACCATAAGGCACAGTTTGCCATGATACCGAAGTTTTTCTGTTTAATATTTGCCTTTAAGTATAGTGATTATAATTGAAACATAAGGAATGAAACTAAGTTAAAACAAGTGTGATTTAGTTTGCACTCAATTCAGTGTTAAAGCGTTCCCAAGTTATGTTTGTAACTGTCCTTTAAAATTGAGATTAACTGAAGTTTTTCCTTTTATTTGTTTCTTTTATTAATTTAGGATGTGAAAGCTATTGTAACCCACTCCATTCACAGCGCAATTCATTCCATTGGAGGGATTCAAGTTCTTTTTCCTCTCTTTGCCCAGTTAGACAATCGACAGCTGCACGACAGTCAGGTGGAAACAACAGTTTGGTAAGCTTCTTTCAAGCAAGATAAAAACTAAATTAAGCTAAGAGTATTTCCATTTTTGTTGTGGAGATGTTTGATTTGTTTTCTTTTGTAAATGCTGTGACTTACATTTTACCCTTGTTTCTTTGAAAATAATATTTTTTTTAAAAAAAGTAGTTTGCTGTAGAGATATGTAAATTGTATTAATCTGATGAGATTCCAGATGGAACTGGCATAAAATTGGCTGGATTAAATGATGAATTCAAATCACTTGAGTCTTTAAGGATAGTTTTGTGACAGTTCTTGCAACTTCTAAAAGAAACCAATGTCCTATTATTTGACAGTGCAATGTTGTTTACTTTCTCAATGTTTCATTTGAGTTCATATTTAATAGCACTCAAGATTAACAAAAGAGATCTCCTTGCATATTAATACATGGTCAGAAAGCCATAGAGCTATGATCAGTTATTTTTTGGCCATATTACAGTTGCAACAGTGACTGGGGACACACCAAGAGAGTTTGAAACAGGGACACTTGAAGTCTCTGCTCTGATACTGTGGAAGTAACCCCTAGGTTGAAAAGCCTGCACAGAAGTTAGATGAATGCTTCCATGTGTAGCCTGCAGAGGACTGCTTAGGAGTCTGTCAGTACCCACGCTGACTTTTACAAAGCTACCTCAGCCGTAGTTATTTTTGCCACGAAGATCTCTTGCCACATGCTTGTCAGGGCAGGCTCCTATTCTAGTGGCAACACAAGATGTCTGAACTTGTCAGAACAAAGTATGTGGCCTAAACCTTTGGATGTAATGAAACTGAGAAGGTAGTGCTGAAGAACCGGTATGGTGCTGCCCTGTAGGCTGGTATGTAACCAAAACCAGCTAGAAAACAGTGTTTAGGGGCAGCATAAGCTGACTTTTGTATTTGAATACATTTATAAAACAGGTGCATAATTCAGAGTACACGGCTTATTTTCCTGCTTAGAATACTCTGCTGTTAATTCTTCTGGATACTTCCTATTGCATTAGATAGTTCAGTAACAAATTAGTGAACTGAAAAATAATTAAATAATACTAAAATTGACAACAGTTTTGAAAAATTTAACTGAAAGTGATACATTGGTGTAATTTCTTATGAAAGATCACTTGTCTCAATCTAATTTAAGAAATTCATCAATATGGTGAAGTTTTGTCAGTCATCTCTTTTCCCCTTTGGTAACTCAAATATGTGTAGCTAAGATGGCTGCTGGTTTTTATTTGTTTCTGTAGTGTGAAAAGTTAATGTATTTCATGAGAATATTTTAGTACAGTGTTAGATGTAATACCACAGTCTTAAAAATAACAAATTCTACTTCCAAGCAGTATAGCAGTGCAAATTATTTCATTCAATGTTAAATACAGAAAAGCTGGTTGTATATTGGCTCATGGGGGATATTTACTTTTTTGTAGTCTTTTTTCCAGTATGTACTTTGCATTGAAGTATTGTGAAGTAAGGGGAATAGAAAAAACAATGCTTGGTTTGAAATAAATGTGGAAAAAAAAATCCCTGTATGTTTTTATTTACTGGCACAGCAGTAGGCAAAAATGCTTTATTCCAATTTAAGGAAGATTATATGTGTATGGGCCCATACATGTAAATAAAATATATGTTAAATTCATTAATGAGTCTGTAATAAATGATAAAGCAGTAACTAGGTCTGTTTAAAAATGGAGAGCTAATATAATGTAAGTTTTATAAGTTGAGATAAAGACTAATTCTTCCCAAGTGTGTGGTCTTTCCAGTGAGTGAGAACATTCATAAAGTTCAATTTAAAATGTACAGGACATTTCTGGAGTTAGTTGAACTGTAAGTAGGAAAAAAAAGTTGTTCTTGAATAAATCAATGCGTTTCTTCTATAATTAGATTATATTCTAAAAAGAGATCTGTAATTCATTATGCTATATGATTGTACAAATGTGTAATGCAATAAGATCTGATCCTAACACAAGAACATATTCAAAAGATTTTTAAGCAAATGGCTGCTTGATGAGATGTAACTGAAATGTTGAATTACCATGGTTTTGGTGTATGTCCATTGTTTTCTTGTATTTAATTTAATAGGATGTAGATATTGAGAAAAATAATAGTTTAAGTGAACAAGGAAGTAGGCCAGTAAAGGAATAAAAGATTTCTGGGAGCAAAGAAAGGAGATAATGGGGAAAAGGGGCTAAACATGAAAAACAGGGCTACATTTAAGATTAGTTTGTGGAGTGGACTAAGGGAAGAAGTGCACTTACTGAGTCCTTTTCTTCTTTCCCCTTGTTTTTAGACTATTCTCTCTTTATTTGTTCCTTTCCAAAATGCAGTTGTGGAACTGTATCTGATACTTGTTTATACCCTTCTTACCTATGAAAATGTATCTGCAACAGCAACAGAGGGCTGCACCACTTCTTTCTGAAAAGTAGTTGGCATTCAGCCATTACAGTCTATGCATTTTTATAAGCAGATAATCTTTATGCTGCTTTGCCAGAAAAAAAAAGGTCCAGATGATGCTTGGTGAGAGTAGAACGTTATGTTTGTAAAGGCTTACTATGGCTGTGGAATTTCTTTCTTTCTGGTGGCCAAGTGGGGGGCTGAGAAGTTGCCCCTTGAATAGCTGTGCTGCCTTTTGTCTTAATGTGTTCCTGGGAGGTGGGAAGTATAAATAGCTTGACAGTGTAAGTGTCCTAGGTTTCCAGACTACTTTTCTGAATCCTTCTCACCTCCTTCTCTCCTGCATATCAAAATCTGTTTAATAAATTCAAGGTTCTCAATTATTTGGTTTTTTTTTTTTTTTAACATTAGAAGGGGGTTGTTAACAGGTCTATGAGGGAACACCTTGCTTTTCAATCGTCTTGGTCCACTTACAATTTTGGTTTAACAGTATTCTTTGTTAATGTTCTTTACTCCTGTAATATGTTAATCCCTGTGTGCCTTATCTACATCTTCCATGAGACCAAGTATTGAATTAACCTACAATTCTGCTTTTGAAGCACTGTATAGATTCTTATGCTCTCATACACTGAAATTAAAAGAATGGAAACTGAGTTCATATCTTAAGTATGTTTTCTTAGATTAAGTGATGCACCTGCTATTCAGGAGGGTGGTCCCTCAACTTGAATGCCAAGGGTGCTACTTTTCATCCTGATTTTCAGTACTCTGGTTAGAACAGATGATTTAGTGGTTTAGGGCAATAAGGTGTTTATGTAATAAGAAGAAATATAGCGTGCTTTTTTCTGTTACTGTTGTTGTTACCTTTGACTATACTATATGGGTAATATGATACGAAGGACTTGCTTTGTTCATTTGTGGTCTCTCGTGTATAGTTTTGAATTCATTTGGGTCTGCTGAGCACTGGCATAAAGGCTGGTTCTAACAAGGTATTGGGTGTGCAGTCTTTGGCACTGACCCAGTTACATCACAGAATAAATAACAAGTGTTGGTTCAGATGAGATTGTTGCTTTGGACTGTACCATATTGGGAAAATACTTGAAAGTAGAAGGAGCTGTAGCTGTTTGCTTAAATAGGTGAAGTCATTCCAAGAATTCTTTTATATACTTATCCTAGAAGTCACTAACTGGATTTGCTAGATTGCATATGCTATACAATAAAAATTAAAAATACTTTTACTGTTTATCGTACTAAAAAAATGCAGTGCCTAGGCCCACCTTAACTTTCTTAAAGGTGATATATACACCCACCTAAAATTTGTAGCAAAGTAAATGTAAGCATCTTTTCAATCAGTTTTATTACTGACATTATTTTCACTCTTTAATATAGGTAGCCCTGTTACAGAGTATATTGCCCACCTATTGTAAGTCAGTGAAATGGAAACATTGGTGAGGGTGGCAACAATATTTCAACTCCTGTTCTTCATTTTTTCTTGGAAATGTTTTGTGTGTTTTGCTTTGATCAATTAATATCTTGTAGTCATTTTTATTAGTTTTTTTTTATATTCAGATGATGACTTTTTGGGTGCCTGTCTGTAACTAGTAGTGTTGCTGCATCTACTTTTTAACAGGTGAATAGTTTGATAGGAAATACGCAGTTTTCCTATCAGTTTCCACAGATAGGAAATAGCACAGCTTGATAGGAAATACAATTTGATGTCTTGATTTTTTTATTAGATTAATATGAAAAATCTGTGACTTTCCAGTAATTCTTAATAATGTCATTAGTTTAATTGAATTTATCTTTTAAGATCATGGTAGCAAACACAATGAATGCTAAGTAGTATCCTACCTACCTAATCTGTCCTCTTCTACTGTCTTTCAAGAATTTTCTTGTTTGCCACAGCTGGCCAAGGTATTTAAACTTGAGAGTGGGTAGAAAAGTCATCCTTTCTGAGGTCGTTGCATTTATCTTTGTGCCTCTGATGGAGAGCCAAGGTCCCGGTCCATTGCTGCCTCCAGTCTGCAATTTAGAGTTTGCAGAGTCAGGTGCTGATAACCCTCTCCTCATGCGCTTCGAAGGGAAGAAGGCTGAATATCACACCTGAAATTTCACATCTCTAGTATAACCTAGCTGTGCTCAGATGAAATCAGTTGTACTGTAATCTTCCCGAACTGTGGCAGCAGGCATGTGACTTGCCAAATCAGACTGCCTGGCCGATAGTTTATAATGAAAATACAGTCACTGTATCATGCGGTAGAAATCCTTTGTAAACTTCCAAACTGCTGTACTTCTGCATATTCCAGAAGATCCAGGAACTATTAAGGGTGGCTAATTTATGATTGGAGTCTGTACACCAAAATGTTGTGCCTGTAAGCAGAGGTGTGTAATGTCTTGCCTCTCTAGCTCTCCCACGCAACACCTATTCATCTGACTCGTGTTTAGTGGCATCAGTTTGGATGAAACACGTTTAGTAGTCTTCCCTTATTGTCCTCATCGTATGTTATGAGAAAAAGAAGTGGAAAAGGGAAAAGAAAGCAGTTTCCCCTTTCTCGCCAACAAGCTTACAGAAAGAAAAAAGGCAGTTAAACTGAAAGCTAAGGAGGCACTTTAGAGAG